TTCTAGTATAATATACTCCAAAACCCTATTCCAATTGTGAAGGCTCCCGCATAAGGCTAAAGGGTCCAGGGTTCAGTTTTCGTGGGAAAGGTTTTAGAGCTTCGGGATTGGGGTTAGGGGTTTAGGGTTTAGGCTACTACAGTGTTTTAGGGTTCAGGGTTTATGCGAAAGATTCCCCTTCTCCCCGTCCTGCTTCCCTCCGATATTGCCCTTCCTGTGTTCGCATGGTTTTAGGTTGGATTTTGGATCGTTTGCGTCGGAGACGCTGCGCCCCTTTTCCCGGTATTTTCGTCTTCTCCTCTACTCCCTACTCTTCTCCCCCCGTTCCTATGTCTCCCCGTCCTGCTTTTGCGTGACTGTTGGTGACCTCTCAGCCCACCCCGACCCCTTACAAAACCTGCCATGGCCATGGGCCGAACCCCGAAAATCAGGGGCAAGGGAGGGGCAGAGTAAGGGGTGGTTGGGCCCTGGCCCCTAAGTTTAGTATAGGGGTTCGGTCCACCCTGCTGTTTAGGGCTTTAGGTGCTGCGGGGCTGGGCCTTGAAGGTTGGAGGGTTTAGGGTTTAGGGTTTAGGGTTTAGGGTTTAGGGTTTAGGGTTTAGGGTTCAGGGTTTGAGGGTTTTTTTTTGATACAAAAGTTGGCAGAGTTGGGGCTAAGGCCCCTACAAGCCTAACTCCTAAACTCCTAAACATTGTAAATCCCTAAGCCCTAAACCCCGAAGCCCTAAACCCCTATAAACCCTAAACCATTAAACCCTAAACCCCCTTAAACCGTTTTAAAACCCCTATAAACCCTAAACCCGTGGACCCCTGAAGCAGGAGAAGGGCTTACCACCGACTTTGTCGGCATCCAAGAAGGGCACGCACCTGAGACTGTCTTGAACTGTCTCGTGAAGGGTTACCTTAAACTACCATAGCCTACTTTTTTGTAGGTCCTTGTTACAAATCCGAATATAGAGTTTATAGGGACCCTAACAAAAAAACGTAGGTCTTGGTAGTTGAAGGTATGGTAAACCCTTAAACCCTCAAGCCGACCCGAACCTCGCCACACCTCCCGAAAATCTACTGGATCCTGAAAAAATAAGTATTTGCCACTCCTTGGGTTTAAGGTTTAGGATTTAGGGTTCAGGGATTCTGAGTGGGGGTTCTCACTCCCTAAGACGATCATGGTAGAACGCACCCAGAACCTCTCAGTCTACTCCTTTGCGGCTCCAACTTGGGCGCGTCTCCTTCAGACTTGGATCCAGGCTTCGGGGTTTCAGGCTTTAGGGTGTAAGCTTGAGGGTATAGTGAGGGGTTCTAGTTTTGCAGTTTCGGGTTCAAGGTCTACGCCTTAAGCCCTACCTGTAGTCTCCATTGTAGTTCCTTTTTGGGGTTACCTTTTAGGATCCTTCATATACAACTGGTTAAGCCAAAAAAGGAACTACAATGGAGCCTATAGGCAAGCCCCTGCACCCTAAACCCCTTAACACTTAAACCTAAACCCTTAGACCCTAAACCACTCAACCCTAAACCCTAAACCCCGGCCAGGCAAATCTGGAGGGGCAGACGACGAAGATGACGAGGCCGCAGCCCAAGATTCTCGGTTGAGGGCAGGGTGTGGGGTTGGGTTTCGGGATCTGATTCTAGGGCTTATCAACCCAAAACTGCAGCAACATCGAAGCCGCATGATCTCCACATGGGTGGTTGTCAAAATTAGGATCCCGTTTTGGGTCCTTATTATAATACGGCACCTATTATTTAGGGTACCCCAAAAGGGACCCTAATTTTGACAACCACCCATATGCCGAGCAAGGGGGCTTGGCTTTTTCGGTGTCCAAACTCTGTGGCAAACCCTCCCAGATCCGAGATGGTTAAAAAAGGGGCCTTAATACTTGCCCATTTTATTTTTTGGGGGGCTCCTTATTAGAATTATAGTATAGTATACCCCCCAACCCTATTCTAATTATTAAGGCCCCTACGTTAAGTCAAGGGCTTGGGGCTTGGGTAGTTAAGGGTTTGGGGTCGTCAGATCTGTGCATCGTCGTTCCGCCTAGGGCTCAGGAAGCTCTAAGGCATCAATCAATAAGCACTGCCACAGCTCACTGGCGAGCTAGTGCCTGCTAAAGTGGAGGTACCTCCAGATAGCTGATGTTAGGTTCTACAGAAATACATGCATGCATGCGTACATGTGATTTTTCATTGTATTCATGTATGTGCTCTCTCTCTCTCTCTCTCTCTCTCTCTAGTTTTGTGATTAACGTGTTTCTTTGTTCGCTTGTTTGCTTGTTTGCTTGCTTGCTTGCTTGCTTGCTTGATTTTGGTTTGTTTAGGTTGGTTGTTGTTTGTTGGTGTGTTTGTTTGTTCGTTTGTTGCTTGGTTGGCCAGTTGTTTGTTTGGTTGGTTGGTTGGTTGGTTGGTTGGTCGGTTGGTTGTTGGTTGGTTGGTTGGTTGGTTGGTTTGTTTGGTTTGCTTGTTTGTTTGCTGTTTTGTTTGTTTGTTTGTTTGTCTCTGTTCGTGTGTGCATGTTTCTTTATGTTTTTGGGAACAAGGAATAGATCTTCTAGAAATGACAACAACTCACATGCACATACTGTACATGTATGCATGCATGCGTGCATATGCATGTACGCATTTATGTATGTGTTTCGATTGCTACAGTCATCGTACTTGTGATTCCGTTTTCCTTCATCACACTTACATTGCCAGCCCGGAGTGCGGGGTTCAGCATGTGGTGCGGACAGGATGACGCCGATGCTGCAAAGGTTGCCGAGGCTGGTCGTGGGATAGTGGTGGGAACTTTTGCAGCTAGGTTCCCTTTGCAGATTCTACCCTAAACCCTAAACCC